TGCACCATGACTTCCTTGCGGGGCACGTAACAGATGCAGCGGCAGGAGCCAGCAAAGCTTGGTTCTGGCCAGCACGGGGCCGACCCAAACTCGCAGCCGGAGGACGGGCACAGGTGACTTTGAAAGCAAGGTTGCCACAACGGCTTTTTGCGAGGATGCGCCAATGCCGGCGGCCGACTGGGACGAAGCTGGCCTTGGCCACGGTAATCGTCAATTGCTTGCTCTTGGTGCAACTTGCCCCGTGATGCCTTGATGAGAGGTCAAGCGGCTTGCTTCGACCCTTACTTGGCTGCTCATGCCTCGGCAGGGTCCCTGGCATCTTCCCGGAGAGCAGGGGGCCGCACCAGTGAAACCTGCAGCATGGCACATGTGGAACTCATTGAGCCGTGTGAATGGCCCAGGAGCAAAGTCCGCCGCGAACTTCTGCTGAAGAGTCGTTTGAGTAAAAAGGGCTGAGCACTTGCCCGTGCGACCCTGCAACAGCATTTACTTTTCCGCCCTAGGATTGTCATGTGCCTGAATGCAGGGAGGCTCGAAGGCGCATGAAGGTGCAGCGCATGAGCACAGCCAGAGCACACCTGTAAACTGATGTAGCAGATAGGACTTGCAAGCCGCCATGACCTGATGGTCTGAATCTCCGTGTGGGCCCAAGGTTTGTGGTTGTCATTTGTCTGGCGCTAGCCGATTTCTACCCAGGTTGTGCATGTGTCTGCAAGATTTGAGGTGCAGAGCAACTTGACAGCTGGTGTCATAGAATAGTTTCGTGATCGCTTGGGAGCCTGGGTTAGTTAGTCATGTGATTGCCCGCAGTATCGTCAATCAGGGTGGTGCATGGTGGCGCAAGACTTGAGGTTAAAAGCGATGTGTTCGGGGGGTGTAGGGGTTGGATTCAGGGTGTGGACAGGGTTTGGAGGCAAGAGCTGAGGGAGGGCTTGGGTGTTGTGCACAACGCTTCCTCCTCAAAAACCTGCTGCAGGCGCAAGCGGTTCAAGCACGGAGCAACCTTGTCTCCTTCTGCCAATTTCATTTGAGTCCTTATTTGTTTTCCAAAAATGTGCGGCTTGGCGCCCCAAGCTGTTTTGACCGCGTTAGCCCTCTGTCTGGGCACCATCGACGGGCATCGCACAGGACGCGCAGATGTGATGGACCCGTTTGCCACT